CAGTGGGAGCCTAAATTTGCTGGGCCAATTCGAAGAACATATCCACAAATATGATGAACTGGTTAGAGGAGTACATTGATAGAAGATGGACTGAGCTCGCCAGAGAGAAGCAGTACTAAAGTGGAGGTGAGATTGCTACCAAAGGCAAATATGTTACAAAGGTGAAGACTTTTATGGATTCAGCCTGGAGAGCGGATCAGAGTTCGCTCCAGATTGCGTGAGGTGCTCGTTTCGTTTTGGGTCCTGCTACATAGATGGATGATTGGAGTTGATTTGATTCAATTTATCGATCTGAAACATGTTGGGAGTTCTTCAAGATAGAATATGCCGAATGAATGAATAATGTTGTCCGAAAGAGAAGAATGAATCATTCATGTGTATCTTGTATCCCTTGTGCCGCTTCAATTTGAAAGTAAGAGATACTTGTGTCTCATATATCACTTCTAATAAAAAAAATTATTCGATTAACTTTATTCTTTAATGCGGGGGATGAGCATTTTTGTCTTTAAAATGAATTGGACAAAGGATATGGGATATATATATATATATATATATATATCCCAAGTCAAAAGCTACTAGATGAGCTTTACCTATACATGGTAGTGATAGAGTAGCTAACTTGGTGTTAATTCAAGACGAAGGTTCAATGATCAATATATTATAATAGTCTCCATGCTACCCATAAATAGAAAAGTTGGTTTTATGCCCTTGTTGCAGAGAAGTAATGATCATCCTCCTAAGCTCACACCATCATGGTCATGACAAATTAGCCACCTTGATAAGTACTTTCGAAGCCTAATGTGGTAGAAAACTCCTCAAATGATTCGTTTGAGATATTGCATAAGGATACTAATTATATTGGTAGACTTTGACTTTTTGAAAGAGTTCACACATTCAATTCAAGTAGAGCCTCACGAAATAAAATTATGGATTTTACATATTGATGGGTCAACTACTTATCCTATAAGCTTTGATGAATGAACCTTTGAATATGCTCTCCTACATTAACAAATACAAATGTGGTTGATAGGTCGATCATCTTGATGACCTATCAGCCATGTCTTGTCAGCAAGTGAAAGTCGAATATAAGGATATGCAAACTCAACTAGTCACACATGGTTGAACATTTAATCATCCGACCCTACCGAAGGTCTAATTGAATGACGTGGGTCATAAGAGTGGCGAACATTATGCTATGCCCTCATTTAACATGTCACATCTTCTCTTAATGTTTAACGATCTCGGATGTAATAGTTCCTAGATTACCTATAAAAAGGATCCTAAGGTATGCATTTGAGAGATTCATTTGCTTAATCTCACTGATTAGTTCGACTAATCCGACTAGTCTTGTAATGTTAACTTTAAGAATTGACTTAATTGATGGAGGGACCATTGTCGAGAACGCCTTCGACTTAGTCTTATAAGGTCGACATATCAGGAAATCGCAAATGAAACCTCAGATAGTCTTAAAACGAGTCATGGTTGGATCTGACTCACCTCCCTAACTTGGATAATCAAAATATAATTTAATAATAATAAATTAAGTTAATAAAAATATAAGGCTCAAGATGGTTCCAATACAAAAGAATAATTAAACATCTTCCAAGATTAAATATATTCAAAGTACCTCAAGATAAAAATGTCAAGGCACATGCATTCTCCAAATTGGCATTGGGGTCATACCCAACTTGACTTGTATTATAATAATTAGTCTTAGGTAACTTATCTCTTTCCCTCCGTAGGAGCATCTAAATCAATCTTAGATTCATACTAGTAATAATGGTCCTAAGCGATCACAAATATGTTTTTTGAATAAAAAATTTAACTTAAGTCATTATTTTTTCTTAGGTCTTCTTTAAAATCACCTGATAAGTTAAAAGCTAATTATGAAGAGATAAAGGTAGGAAGGCCAATCTATTATAATAGCCTTATATTGAAGGATGTCAAGCAATTCTTCTCATAAATAGAAAAGTTGGTTTATGCCCTTATACTTGTTATAAGGAAGCTAGGATCTTCCTCCTAAGCTTACACAGTCATGATCATGACAAACTAGCCACTTTGCTAAGTACTTTTCCAGCTCGGAATTACATTTCGAATCTTCTTTGTGGACCATGCTAGAAAAAAAAAAAGCTAAATCTTTGAGACTTACCATAAAGTAAACCAACAATAAGGTCAGCGAGAGGGAGAAATTGAGTCTTTGACATTCCTCGACAAAGGCAGCCAAGTAGCACTAGGAGTTTGACGCCATATAGGTATGAGAGATTTTTCAAACAATCAAGATAACACCAAAAAAAGGGATGGGAGGGAGGGTTTGAGCCCTGCTTCTAATGCATCAAAGGAGGTACAGAAAAAAATAATATGACTCATAGGGTCGAGTGTCAGCTAAGGAGTTATCAGCTCAAACTCATAATGGATATTGAATGCTTCCTTGATATGCACCATGTCAGCATTGGAGATCCAAGAGTCTAACTCATATGACCTTATCATATCCTATGAGGCCCCACTACCCAAGGGACTTACCTCCGAAGAAGTAGCCTCCTTTGCTACGATGACTTTGACCCCTTTATTGGAGGGGGAAGTAATGAAAATTGATGCCAATGGTGATCATGGGATCGAAGAACCACCCGGCCACGGTCGAACATTGGGGATAAGCTAGACGAAGAAGACATTTGATAGTTGATTTTCAAAAGGGCGGGTTGTCCAAAGGTTTGAAGGCTTTGAGGGTTTGCAAGTTTAGGAAAAAGTTTGAAGGTGTGAAAGAAGCTAAGGCTCAGGGGGGCTATTTATAGTGCTCAAGCGACCCTTCGCCTAACTATCCAACTAGCCAACATTTTAGCTATAAGGACATAGCACTATGCCATTGGCTAGGTGCGATCGAAATTGTCACGATCTTTCAAATCTCTGATAGTGCACGTAACCCTTACGTGGACTCTCCTACGAGCACCACATATATGATATGATAATTAAAACAATAACTCCATTTAGATTTGTCAGGCAGCCTAAACGACGTGCTCATCAGAAATCAAGGCATAATTAGTGCACATGGGCATACATTTCGTAATCCTGTGAGGAGAGAGATAACACGCTCACCAATGTTTCATATACCCACTTTAAATCTTAAGCCAACTAGCCAAATGACTGAGGGAGAGGCCACCCAACCCGATGGTCAACTGTTTGAGCGCCATTGCTCAACATAATTAGTCGACCGCTTGACCATGTGTCTTACGCCCAACTTGTTGATCGTTCGACTATGCATCGCACACTCGACTGACTAATTATTCAACTATACATCCCATGATTGATTAGTCGATTGACCATTGGATGATGCATAGCCAACGGGCCAAGTGTGTGTTTTGATAATGCATAACATATGGTTAAGTGTGTATTTTGATAACACAAGTACTATAGTCCAAGTATGAATTTTGACAACACATTACCTATGGGCCAAATGTATATTTCAACGATACACAACTTATGAGCCAAGTGTGCATTTCGATGACTCATAACATATGAGCTAAATGTGTATTTTGAGTACGCACCATCCTCGGGTGGCCACATGCTACAGTGACATCCCACTCAAACACGCTTCTCCCATAATCTACTACGCACCATTATCCAATTAAATATCTCCAAAACCAATAGCCAACCTTCAAGTAAAGAGCCAAGATCGATGTGCTATGAAGATTGACAACTCTATGACCCAACAACTCCAGAGTAAGGAGCTAATGATAAGAAGAAATTGACATGACAAACACATAAGTCTGAACATGGTTGATAGGTTGGTCATCCTAGTGATCTGTTAGCCACATATTGTTGATAAGTGATAACCAGATCCGAAGACATGTAGACTCAACCGATAGCACGTGATCGAATGCCCGACCATCTGACCCCACAAAAGGTATGATTTGATGATGTGAGTTATAAGAGTGATGAATGTTATACCATACCCTTAGGTAAAACGTTGTATGTCTCCTTTTAATATCTGATGATTTTAGATATAATCATTCTTAAATTACTTATAAAAAGGATCTCAATCTACACATTTTTTGAGATTCACATGCTGAATCTCACTGACTAGTTCGATTGGTTCGACTAGTCTTTGAATATTAACTTCAGGAATTAATTTGATCCTTGCAGGGATCATTGTCGAGAATGCCCACGACTTAATCTTATAGGATCAACACATTGATAAATCGCATGTGTCGATCCTATAATCTTTGAAACTAATCTTGATTGGATCGAACTCACCTTCCTAATTCAAACAATCAAAATCTTATTTAATAAATATTAAATTAAATTAATAAAAAAAATAAGACTCGAGATGTGTGAATAATTAAGCATATTTCAGAATTTAAGATATTCTAAGCACAACCAAATGCATTCTCCAAATTGGCATTTGGGGTCATTCCCATCTCCAAGTGTAAATACCTCAGAAACTCTAAATCTACCATTTGACTCCATGGCCAAAAGTTTCCTCAGTTTTTAGCAAAAATTCTCGAGAAGTCGATTAAATTGAATTCAGACGGATCCTCTGACCATGATTTTACACACACAGAGAGAGAGAGAGAGAGAGAGAGAGAGATGGTTTATTCTTTCTTCCTAACAATGATTATTATTCCTACTTAGGAGCTGTTGTTTGATGATATTGTCATCACACAGGTATTTTTAGGATGAGAATGGTTATGAATCGGCTAACGAATGATACCATATTTGACGGGATTGACTGCTTTTGGTATGAGAATTTTCCTGGCAATCTTAATTTTTTTTGTTGTTTTCCGAAGGGAGGATTGTGTACATTACCCCCAAAAAGTAATATCTACTTTTATTGGAAGGAAGGTTCGTGCATCCTGCCTGTCATGGAAATCTCACCGTCCATCATTCATCCTAGCACGCATCTTAAGACATCAATCAGGCACGTACACGACTGTTGATGCTCAATTAACGAAGATCCAAGTCCGGAGCGGGTTCCTCATTTTGTCTTATATATATATGTGTAAATAATACCCGCCCCCTCCATGCCCACCAATATAACGATTTCTCTGCTTTATAGGGTTTCCGATTCCACGCTGTCGATCTCCTCCTGCCTTCGATCGTCGCCGCTGTTGTATGAGTCACGAGGGTTGGAACCGATCCCTGCTTCTGCCTCTTCTCTAGAATTGTTTGGGTCGATCGGGGAGCGATGGGTCGGAAGAAGACGGTCGCCATCGACGACGACGAGTACTCCTTCCCGGAGGACCTGCAGCAGCAGGAGCAGCAGCCGCTGCCGACGCAGGACACCGGGTCTGAGATCCGCACCGCTGCCAACTCCAGAAAGGGCAAGAAGGGCGGTAAGAACCAGCGCGACGTAGCCGCCGATGATCAGCCGGCGGAGGATTGGGAGAAGTCATCGTCTGCTGGCGCCGCGGAACCCTCGAGGGAGGATGACGATGATGCCGTTACCCTCGTCTTCTCTGGTAAGAAGAAATCCTCTAAATCTAAGAAGAGTAGCGCCGTTACGAGTGGGTTCGCTTCTCTGAATGCCTTTGGGGAGGACGCGGATGACGAGGAGCCCGATTCAAAATCGAGATCGAAGGTGAAATCTGAAGTTGACGATCGTGTGGACGATGAGATGGACGAAAGCAGGGGTCTCGATGTGGAATTGGGCCGTCAGGGCAGCTTGGAGGACGCGGATTCAAAGAAGCAACAGAAAAAGAAGAAGAAGAAGGGCGGGCGAATCGCTCAGGAGGAAGACTTCGATCAGCTCCTGGCCGAGCTGGGGGAAGCCCCGGCGACGGCCCAAACCCTGACTCCGTCTGCTGTGTTGGATGAGATGGATGGAAATGGGGATCTTGATGTGGAATTAAGCCACCAGGGAAGCTTAGCAGATCCTGATTTGAAGAAGCAAAATAAAAAGAAGAAGAAAAAGAGCGGGCGGACTGCCCAGGAGGAGGACGACTTGGATAAACTCCTCGCTGAGCTGGGGGAAGCCCCCCCACTGGCTTCAGCTTCAACTTCATCTCCTCCTACATTGGCGGAAGAAGAAGTCGAGGGAGATGAGGTCAAAGATGCCGACTTGGAATCAGACAGGCAAGTAAATGGCGCTGAGGAAGCAGTCTCAAAGAAACAGCAGAAGAAAAAGAAGAAGAAAAGTGGAAGAACTGCACAGGAGGAGGAAGCTTTGGATAAGATTCTTGCTGAGCTTGGGGAGGAACAGCTGCCTCCTCCTCCAAGTGCACCTCCACATCAGTCTGCCCTGGTTGTGCAGGAATCAGCTTCAGCCCCAGTAGAACAGCCAGAGGCAGAGGATAGAGATGGGGAGGCAGAGGGTGAGTCAGCAGCGGCCAAGAAGAAGAAAAAGAAGAAGGAGAAGGAGAAAGAGAAGAAGGCTGCAGCTGCTGCAGCAGCAGCTGTTGTTGAGGTTAAGGAAGAAAAAGTGGAAGTGAAGGGGAAGGTTCCTGACAAGAAGTTGCCCAAGCATGTTAGGGAGATGCAGGAGGCACTGGCAAGAAGGAAGGAGGCGGAAGAGAGAAAGAAAAGGGAAGAGGAGGAGAGGCTAAGGAAGGAAGAGGAAGAGAGGAAGCGGTTGGAGGAACTGGAGAGGCTTGCGGAAGAGGCAAAGAGGAGAAAGAAGGAAAAAGAAAAGGAGAAGCTGCTTAAGAAGAAACAGGAGGGCAAACTTCTGACGGCTAAACAAAAGGATGAACAGAGGAGGTTGGAAGCAATGAGGAAACAGTTCCTTGCTCAGAGTGAGGTTCCAATAGGTGATTCTGGTGTGGTGATAAAGAAGAGGCCCAAATATGAGACAAAGAAGTCTAAACTGACTCAATCTAAGGTTGTGGAAACAGAGAAGGTCATGGAGAATGAGCATGTGGTTGATGAACCTCGTACAGAGCAAGCTGTGCAAGATGTTATGGTTGAAGAGGAATCTCTATCTCAAGTTGGAGATTCTGATGACAAAACTGAAGCAGAACAGGAACCAGAAGAGGTCAAAGCTGTGGATGAGGATGAAGATGATGAAGAATGGGATGCAAAGAGCTGGGATGATCTTGATGTGACATTGCCCGCGACAAATCCATTTGCTGAGGAGGATCAGGACATCATGACAAAACCTAAAGGAACTATTGAACATGTAGTATCTTTTCCTGTTGAGTCTCAAACAAATTCAACAGCACCTGCAAAGCCTGCTGTCAAAAAGGTGGCGGATCCTCGTACATCTTCGAAGAAGAATGATGCAAATAACAAAGAGGATGAACATGAAAGTGAATGTGCCACAAATGTTAAGAGGGGGAAAGAAGCTCTTATTAAGCAAGAGTCAACTGCTGTGGAGGATAAATCAAAAAAGAGTGGTCCTGATCTCCGCTCACCCATTTGTTGCATTCTTGGTCATGTAGATACTGGAAAGACCAAGTTGCTAGATTGTATTAGACGCACTAATGTACAGGAAGGTGAAGCTGGTGGTATCACGCAGCAGATTGGGGCTACCTATTTTCCAACTGAAAACATAAGGGAGAGGACAAGAGAGCTAAAAGCTGATGCAACACTGAAGGTTCCAGGTTTACTTGTCATTGACACCCCTGGGCACGAGTCTTTTACTAATCTACGGTCTAGAGGTTCAAGCCTTTGTGATATTGCTATACTAGTTGTGGACATCATGCATGGACTTGAGCCACAAACTATTGAATCTATCAACCTGTTAAAAAGTCGGAATGCAGAGTTCATTGTTGCTTTAAATAAGGTAATAATTACTTTTCAATTCAGAATTTCTTTTTCTGTACTACTATATATATTTTTGTGATTGATTAATTATATGATATTAAATTTTTTTAAGGTGGATAGACTCTATGGTTGGAAATCTTGTCCGAATGCACCAATAGTGAAGGCACTCAGACAACAATCTAATGATGTGAAGAATGAATTTAATATGAGGCTTACTCAGGTCAATACATTTGGAATTTTGATAAGCTCTTTTGCTTTGTATCTTTGTTTTAAAATCTAATTGGGAATCAATCTCTCTCTGCTTCCCTTCAACAGATCATAACACAGTTTAAAGAGCAGGGCTTGAACACAGCTCTGTACTACAAAAACAAAGAAATGGGAGAAACATTTAATATTGTTCCCACAAGTGCTATCAGGTAATATCTACATAGCACGAAGAAAGGTTTTTTATGCATCTTTGGTGGACTATTAAAAGCAAAATTTTATGATACTTAAAATTTGCCTAATGTTTGTGTATATCATATTAGTGGTGAAGGAATAGCAGATCTTCTCTTATTGTTGGTGCAATGGGCACAGAAAACTATGGAAGAAAAGCTTACCTATGTCGATGAAGTCCAGGTTTGTTTCCAAGTGCTTATTCTCCACTATCTCTAAGTTGGATCAGACTTAGGATATCCTTGTTAGTGGTTCACTTCACTGTAAACCAATACTATATTCTGGTAAAATGTAATGAATATGATAATTTTTAGCTGTATAAATATATGATGTGCATTTCATTTATCTTACTATGCTAGTCATTTGCCTTTATTTTCTAGAAAAACAAGTCTTTACTGGTGGATAGTTTTAGTACCTCTCTATGTAAGATAAGTAAAAGTTTAATTAACTTATTCTTGTATTCAATATGTATTTCAGTGTACTGTGTTGGAAGTTAAAGTAATTGAAGGCTTAGGAACAACCATTGATGTTGTACTGGTCAATGGTGCTCTTCATGAGGGTGACCAAATAGTTGTTTGCGGCATGCAGGTATAGATGTTGAGTCTTCACTTTGGCCCCTTTTTTTATATATTTATTTCTTATCTAAGTTTCTATTGCAGGGGCCCATCGTGACCAATATCAGAGCTTTACTGACTCCCCACCCAATGAAGGAGCTCCGTGTAAAGGTGAGTACATCACTTGGTTTTGGTATATCTCTGTGTATTTGATGACGGGAGTTCAACAAAATTCAATTTCTTTGGACTTATTATTTACTTTTTCTGGGGTAATGTTAGCATGCCATCTCTGGTTTTGCAATTTGCAAGGAAAAGATGCCATTATATATAACACCTTTCTGTTAAACTCTTGATGAATGTTAAAAAAAAAAATACAAACAGGATCTTAAATTTGGGCCCTTTTTTTTCGTTGTATGACTGTAGGATTCTGGGCGATTGACCAAAATATGCTTTATAAACATGTTAGACTAGCTAAAAGGTCTAGCTTAGAGTCACTCTATGTTCTATAACTAGGTTAGGGAAATCAAGGTTCACGATGACCAAACTATATTGTCAGTGTCTCAAATCCTATGTTTCTAGGCACCCACTAGGGTTCTCTTATTTACAGGGTAGTTACTTGTTGATGCATAGTAATTATCACCAAATTTAATAAGTTGTTGTAGGTAACAATTTAGTTCAATTTTTTGGGACTAGTTTCCTTGTGCTATCTATTATTCTTAAATGGTTATTGACCATTAGTTAGGTTGGAAACTTGGAATAGCATTATTCTCTGAGCAAGTTTCTCTATTGTGGGTGTCTTGCATCCTTTTTCCTTGGTTAAATTTCATCTAATCTTGGAAGATGTCAAGATTATACGAACAATGGATATTATGTGAAAGTATGAGAGAGATCCCATTATCATTTTGTAAAATTGTAGGTTATAAGTCTTGTTGAGGTTCTATAAATAACATCAATAATTTCAAGATACTTTCAAAGGCTAGGTGTAATCTCTCTCTCTCTCTCTCTCTCTCTCTCTCTCCTGTCTTTGTAGGTTCTCTCCTTTCTTTTTCAGTCTCCATATATGATAGGACAATCTTTCCTTTATATCCTCAGTTTCGTATATTTCCTCGGTACTTGTGTCCTTGTGTAAATGTTTCCATGCTTTTTGCAACTTGTGATATTCTTAGCAGGATTTTGTCTTTTTCAGTAAACTTTACACAACAACGTTAGCAATTGACATATGATGATGCCTCCATCTTACAGCAGATAGTTCAACTAATAGTTATAGTAATCTACTATCTCGTACAAGTAAGGGAAATGTCTGAAATCCTTTTTTTATTGAATTCCTAGAAGCTAGTTTAAACTTTAAACAATCTTTGTCATCAACAAATTTGATATGGTACACCTAGGATCTTAAACCTTTTGTGAGGTACTGAGTTCCTTCAAGCAAAACTTCTTCTGAACAATTTGTTTTGCTTGAAGAAGATACTTGCACTTAAACCTAAAGCAAAGTTCAAAATGCAAAACTTTAAATTATTTTCTGAGCTTGTTTTGCTTGAAGAAGATACTTGCATTTAAACCTAAAGACTGTTGGGCTGTTGAAAGGTAATATATACAAAAACATTTGTGTCACTTAGATGATAATTTTAGGTGCTTGTGCGGAGGTACTAGGAAATTTCATTTGTCAACAATTAGTTGTAGATCCGAGTCTCCAATAGAATGAGGAGAGAAACATTCGAGATGGTATGTGTATGTGCGAATGAGACATCCAAATGTACAAATGTTAAGAGTTAGAAGACGTAAAATAAGTAGTGCTAAGAGAGACATAAGAAGATTCCACTAGAAATTAGAAATAAAGATCTAAATACTTTTTCTTAATTAAGGATTTTTGTATTCACTCGACTCCAAATAGTTAGGTGATTGTGGCTTGTAATTATGATTACATATAACATAATGCCCTAAAAATGCTAGGTACATTCAAAACCAGACAAGAAATCACACTGAATTAATGTTGGTTTGGTCTGGTTTATACTTTATATTTCTCAAAACTGAACATATTCAGTTTGATTCAAAAATTTCTTCAAAACCAATATTGAATTGGATCATGTGCAACACCAGGAGAAACAACATTAGATACTATGATGTCAAGAATGATTAGGAAAAAAATAGAGAAATCACTAAAGTAATGCTGCATCTGATGTCACTTCTTATCTTGTCCATGGTAAGTGGAATGAAATGAAATTTTTTAGAATACATGAATTCACCAAAATTTAGCTAGTAATCTAGTCAAGGATTGAAAAGGGATGTGCTTTTTTTTTGTAAAGGCAAGAAGAGAATGTTTTTATACAGCTTGGTAAAAGATTGCAAGGTAGCAAGGGAGATGGACTAATATCTCCTTGACTGGTGCATCTTGTTTTCTGTCATATGGCCGATGTACTTGAATGTCATGATGGAGTACGACTGTCATGACTTATTGAAAATATTTAAATTAAAATATTTGTGTTCCTTCGTTACTGTTAACTAGTTTAATGTGTTTGAATTCATCATCAAGTAAGACAGACATGGTGTGTTGCAGATGAGGAAATCAATTTAAGAGGCCTCTTTTGTTTATAGAATCAAATAAATGAATCAATAACAATACAATCATTTTCATGATAAAAGTTCTTGGTCATTAACCTTGATTTTTATGTCTTTTTTCATTGTTGGTCTGTTGGATGCTTTGTTATTCATGCTAGATCGATGATCACTGGGTCTATTTAGCTCTAGTATTCATATGGTCCAAACTCTGATCAAATACCAAGCATCCCTAGTTTATGTAGGGATGAAAATTGGGTGACCATCCTTCACGGAAAAGAAACTCAAAATTTAAATAAACCTGGGTGTTTTTACCAATAATTATGAGGTTATGTTTTGAATGATGTTTTTGCCATTCATGCCCTTTCAGCTCCTTGAAGCAAAACTTTGTTGACTAGTCTTTAGGTTTAAGTGCAAGGATCTTCTTCTGCCTTGCCTTGGACAGGTTTTGCACACCAAATTTATAGGGTTGCTAGGTTTATTAACTGTTTGTGGAGTTCTGTCAAATCTTTGAGTGGCTTTCTTGCTTTTTATCCTAATAGAAGCTATATTGTTGGAAACAAGATTTGCAGGATCTGGATCATAATTTTCGTCTGACTCAAGGATCTGGAGTCAGTATTGGTGGGCTGTGCTGCATCTGTTCAGCAGGATTTAGATTGGTCAAACAAGTAATTCTGAGAAAAACCATAGAGAATGAGTGTATCACAAGATTTTATGCCTTGGAGTCATGGTAGTGACGTGAGATATCATTTCATGTTGGTCAGAATTAGCATATTTGAATCAATTTCTAGCGATTTTTGTTCTATTTTCATTTGGTTCTGTCCACTTCCAGCCATGATTAGGGCTTGGGTTAGGAACTAGCTGATCCTGTTCCAGACCACTCAGATTGGATCAAAATCCACAACAGGATCAGCTGATCCAGGGAATCTTGGTTGGAAAGGCTAGGATGACGATATTTGTTAATATGACTAAATGACTGTAGTTCTTATGCTTTTGTTTGACTAATTTGGTAAAAAGGTCTTGGAAGATTGTAGTTACGGATTCTGGATCTCACAAGTGCTTGTTCAATCTCTTTAGACAACTTTTGAGCATCCTGATGACATTTTGTTTTACTATTTTAATGGTTAAACAATGTGTTTAAAAAGTGTTGATAAGCAGGTTTTACTTGCTAAATTGATGTTATCTTTCTTTGCTTTATACTGCTTTATTGTTAACTGTGACATGTTAACCTATAATGTATTTGTTTGGAAATTTTACTTTTGCATATCAAAACCAAATACAGTCATTAAAAGTTAATACCAGAGTGTATTTTCATATCTAAACTTTCAGATACAACATCTCCTTTAAATTTTTTATCTCATGGAATTCTCTGAAGTAAAAATTATCTATAGAGTTCAAATTACCTTTTTGATCTTGAGATGCTACTTCCAGTCTATTCTCCACTAGGAAATATAGTATTATTTGCTTGTCAACTGGAACATAAAAATCTATGGTGATTACAGATGTTATCAAATTATTCCATATGTACGAGAATTTGAAGTAAGCATGAGCTGTTTTTACCCTAGGATTGAGATAGTTTTATTCGTTAGTCATGATTTTATGTATCTGATGATGGTCAATCTTGTGGATTGTGTTACTCTGTTTTGTATGTATTATGTATTAGCTTAATGACAAGTCAAGCAAAGGTTGCAACCAATGAAATTCACATAGGATTCATAATTAATATAATACAAGGTAATATAAAGGGCCTTTTCTGTATAAAAATGAATTAGACTTAGGGTTTTAAGTTGGTAAAAGTTTTCAATTGGTACTTGTGATTCTGATTTGTAGTATTAATCTGTTCACTGTTAATATAATCAATATCCTGGATGTAATATTTCTTTCAGTACCCTCTTCTAAGATAGAACTTGAAACAGAAGCAGAAGTTGGTCTAAGATTTCAATTGGTGCCCGTGATCCCAGTTTAGATCATGCTTTTGTCGTCTGATAAACAAAATTAATATGCAGGATTGACGATCCTTTCTTATGTAATTTCTTCCAAGATAGAAGAACATGAAACAGAAGCAATGGAATGTGATAATGAAATGTGCATAAGTTCTTCATTTGTAACTTCACCATCCATTTCCATACCCATACATATCAATGGAATTCTTGTTACAATTGATGAGTTATTCCTAATTATTAAGTGTTGTTGTTATTGTCAATATGTCGTGCATTTGTTATATGACTTACAAGTTATATAGAGCAATAGTTTGTTGTATCTTTATATGATTTACGTTACATTACATTGACCCCAAAACTAGCTGCTCTCTGATGATTCATGTTTCTATTGATTGGCATGTCACTCGTGTCTTTCTCAGGGTTCATACTTGCATCATAAAGAGCTTAAAGCCGCCCAAGGTGTAAAAATTTCTGCACAGGTACATTTGGATTATAACACAGATCTGCACTTTTTATTTCAGCAACTTCATCTCATCTGAGTACATCCTTTCTGTAACAGGGCCTTGAGCATGCCATTGCTGGCACTTCCCTATATGTGGCAAAACCTGAGGATGATTTGGAAGATTTGAAGAAAACCGTAATGCAGGACGTGGAAAAGGTTATGAGCCGGATTGACAAGAGTGGGGAAGGTGTATATGTCCAGGCTTCAACCCTTGGGTCATTGGAAGCACTTACAGAGTTCTTGAGGAGCCCAGCAGTGAGCATTCCGTTTTGTGATTTCAGTATAGGTCCAGTACACAAGAAGGATGTCATGAAGGCTAGTGTCATGCTTGAGAGGAAAAAAGAGTTTGCAACCATCTTAGCATTTGATGTCAAAGTGATGCCTGATGCCAGAGAGCTTGCAGATGAGACTGGTGTTAGAATCTTCGTTGCAGACATTATATATCATCTTTTTGATCAATTCAAAGCTTACATTGACAATCTAAGGGAGGAGAAGAAGAAGGAAAGTGCTGAAGAGGCAGTTTTCCCCTGCGTTCTAAAGATTATGCCAAACTGCATATTCAACAAGAAGGACCCAATTGTATTGGGTGTGGATGTTCTTGAAGGCATTCTTAAGGTAATTTCATATGCAATCATTTTCTTCATCCATTGAAAGTTCATGTTTGTGGATCTTCCCTTTAAGACTATTACCTTTCTACAAAGGGACAGCATCCTTGACCCAAATCTAAGCAATTAGTTGTTGAAAGTGAAATAAATCTTTCCTAAATAGCATTTAGTTTTGGTATTCTTATATAGCAAGTTGAACTGTTTGGAAGCATTTTTTTTGTTTTCCAAAGCTAGTGCTTGGATCTTAGTTCTGAAGGGTCCTTATCCGAGCAATTGAGTGCTGTGCGTGAAATAATCTTGCATCTTAGTCTTCGACTGGCCTCAGAAACCGAGGCCTCTGTTTGAAATATATTTGCTTTTGGTTGTTCCTAAACAGTAAATAGAACTGTTATTTTCAATTTGTTATTTATTGACAAAAACATGTTTTCTTTTCATAACTTTGCATATAGGATGCTAGGAAGCAGTTTGTCATGGAACTTGCAGGGACCAGTGGCTGGTCACACAGTTGAAGCAAACGATCTCTCTTTAAAATGTTGCAAGTGTTTGTGCTTCCAAAATTTAAGGATAGCTTTATTAGTATTGCTTTTGGAGAGGTAAAAAAATAAAGTTAAGAAATATATTTTGCTTTTGGGGAGGTAAAGAAGTTTAATAAACATGTGTTTATCATTGATGTTTTGAGTTTTATCTTCATGAACAACCAATAAGAAATAGAGCTTATTCCAAATGGGCACTTAGTAAATTTGACCTTTGCCCTTATAATTTGTAAGTGCTTTTCTACAAGAGTATCATATCTTGTTTGCTTATAGCTTTACCCTAATTTTCAGATTGGTACCCCTATTTGCATTCCTTCAAGAGAGTTCATAGATATAGGGAAGATTGCATCGATCGAGATCAATCATAAGCAGGTTGACGTTGCCACTAAGGGGCAAAAGGTGGCTATAAAGGTATCAAGGATATTTCATATTTTGAATTTACTTTTGCCTACTTTCTTCGAAAAGATCTTCTGAGCCTCATCGACCATCTCCCGTCTATACAGATAGTTGCCTCCAGTCCTGAAGAACAACAGAAGATGTACGGCAGGCATTTCGATATTGATGATGAGCTTGTCAGTCATATCTCAAGGAGGTCAATCGACATACTGAAAACAAACTATAGGGTAAGAATGAAATTATTCATTTAGTTCATGACCCTCTTTCATCCTTTATTTTGGAAGGGTGTTGTGCCATTTGTTCTTGTAGTGGCCATTTGGTGTGCAAGAGTTTATTGTGTTCCTACAACTCTGATTGCATTGTTTCGTGCTTGGGTTCATGAATACCTGCTTCCATGCCAAAAATGGGGTGGCTTTTTTTCCATATAAAATTACTAATTTACTTCAATTTATGCTGTAGGATGATCTGTCAATGGAAGAGTGGCGCCTCGTCGTGAGGCTGAAGTCTATTTTCAAGATACCTTGATTTGTGAAGAGCTGCAGTGTTTTCTGAGTGCCAGATATAATGTATTTGCGGCTCCATCGACCGGCATAGCTTGTGATGATCCTATCTGATGAAGAAAGAGAAAAAGAAGGAATTATGGTGGCAAAGGCAGGATATGGTCAATCAGCTTTGGTTTGATTTAAAGTGCTTTGAGATACACATCGTATATGTTTTGTCGAAGGTTTTTGAATTATGACAGAGGGTAGGGCTTTTGGTTTTGCTTTACTGCCCCTAAAATTTCTTTCTCAGTGATCTGATGATGCAAAGACTTGCAGTTTTGCCTTTATAATCGAGAGTTTTTGCATAGGTCAAAACATTTTGGTTTCCCCCACTGTATTTAATACTACTATTGTAATAGAGAGGTTACAAGAAAAATTTGTTTTCCGGAGGGTACTATTTTTGATGGACGATTTTATTAGAAACTATAAATAAAAAATAAATAAATACTCTTATGAGTATCGATTTGAATGCAAATCGATGCCAAGATATTATGACTTATTATTGGCTATTGTTGTTGGTATAAATTCCCAAGTTGTATGTTGTGTATCAACGCATATCTTCGGATATTATTGATGAAAAAAACGCATAGTTTCTGATATCATTGATACCAATAACCAATGGGTTGGCTGAGGCCTCTTTAAGCATGAGCAAACTATACATTTTTTATATGATATGGTATTTGATCAAGTTGATAAATACCATTTGGTGCTTATTATTTCCGATCAATAAGATATTAAGTGCTTTGACTGATACTAAACTCAAAACAGAGCCATCAGTAGGTTTTTTTTCTTCTGTTTTCTGTGTTCTGATGGTGGCCAGCATATGCTGATGTGTTCTTAATGTTCAAATCACCACACAACGGGGGATTTATATTCATTCTCGAGCACTGCTGGGAGTAGTGTGAGTTTAAATGTCAACGATTCTAATTCGAAATGGCAGTCCATTCGATATCAGAAATAATAATTTAGGTATATATATATATATATATATATATATATATATATATATATATATATATATATATGTATTTCTGTATTATG